ATATACATATACATATACATATACATATACATATACATATACATATACATACATACATACATACATACATACATACATACATACATACATATATATATATATATATATATATATATATATATATATATATATATACCAAAAAAAGTCCTAAAGGAAAATCTGTGGGTCAAACCACATATAGTAAGCATTTAGGAATCACCTTACAACCTAATATGAACAGATACTTAAGGACAATGGGCAGAAAGTTATTTAATTTGTTAAAAGTTGGATGTTACAGTGCAAATTTTTATTCAAAGTATCAAAATCTTTGCTGTAAATACTCTTCGCTACAGTCCTGCACTGACAAACCTCATTTAACATTTACTGTTTCTCTCAAAAACAGTAAAGGGTTTTCACTCAAAAAACCTTTCCAATTATTTTAGGATTATGAGAGAGTCATAACCTTGTATAATTAGTGTGATTGTTTTGCATAGAATTGTTTTGTAAATTTCTCTAAGACATGTAGAACAACAGTAATAAGGTTTTTGGGGTGGAGGGGGGTTCCCCTTATGTTGGACTCTGGATTCAAGTAAGCAATGATAGAAATCTATTGCTTTCTGATAAGGTGTTTAATCTTCTATTTATTTCCTCAGACTTGTGTAGGCTCTGTGTACCAGCTGTGATCAGCTGGGAGTGAGCAGTTTTGTATCTAAAAATGTCAAGATCCACATTTTATGATCCCAAGCAAAATCCCAGGCACAGAATGGGGTCCCAGATTAAAGGAGGAATTTAAATCTATTTGTGTGTATTCTGTTCCCCATCTGATTTGCATAAAGTGAAGATTTGAGAAGAACAGTGGGCTCCAAACAAAGCAAACAAGTGTAAAGTTGCTATTTAAACAGGATGAAAAGAGATGACTTACCCAAAATATTTTTGAAGAATACCCATAAAATGGAACAAACCAATACAAAATACACTGGGTTAAAGTTCAGAAAGACATGTTATAGTGCATTTTCCTTTAAGTATTCTATTTTTAAGCATCAGAAAGCAGCTGTGGATGCCAAAAAGCTTTTCTTTATGAATAATGCATTACTGCTCTCTCATTCTCTTGCTTGACTACAATCCCTTAATGGTAGACCATTCTTTGTGATACAGGCAACACACGTATGAAGAGGTTGTGAAGTTATACTTACATGCATCTCTGTGTTACTTAGGTTACGTACACTGCTGATTTCAAATAAGCAATATTTTCCTTCTTATAAAAACAGTTCATTTCTTTTTTAAATGTTTTCCCAATCTTGACATCTAGAAAGGACAAGTAAAGAATGCAGGACAACAGAAAATATGGCATTTCTTTTGTACACACCTACATTGCCTGATTATTCTCCTTTTCTCTGTGTACTCATTTTTTCTGGTTGCATGCATCAGCTTAGGTTATAAATTAGAGAGTATTTCTTTCGTACTGATCTGCCATTAGGGCAGCTTTCTGGTTAAGGAGCAGATCAGTACTCTAAATATATAATCAGTACTCTAAATATATAAGTAAACATTGGACGCAACTTAATTAAAACCCCCGGTTTTCAAACCAGGTCAACTGCAATTAAATTTAATCCCAGACACTCTAGTATTGTGTGAAAAGTGCTTACATTTATAATGTCCTAAATTTATGTTTACGACAATTGCACTTTGTTACACTGAAATTATTGCAAATCATGAATAGAAATTGTTCAACAGCTGCCAGGATGTTGCTAAGACCCAGTTAAATGGAGAACGTTAATAACAAATTTGTTGATTTACCTTATTTACTGTATAGGTCAGGGGTCTGCAACCTTAAACACTCAAAGAGCCATTGGACCCATTTCCCACAGAAAAGAAAACACCGGGAGCCTCAAAACCTGGATGGGCATGGCCAACTCAACATCACTCCTACCTAGTCACATAACACCCACCACCACCACACCTACCCAGGTTTTGTCACTCCCAGTGTTTTCTGTGGGAAATGGGTCTCTCTCTCTCTCTCTCTTCCCCCCTCCCTCCCTCCTTCTCATTTCTGTTTTTTTGTGTTTTACCTTCTCAGGCCAAGACAAGGAGTGACTGGGAGGTGAGGGCGAGGAGCATGGCCAGTCAGTGGTGGGGTCACCCAAGAGGGAGCCACAGCAGAGACCCAAAGAGCCACATGTGGCTCCAGAGCTGCAGGTTGCTGACACCTGATATAGGCTTATTTGTGAACTGTTTTGAATCTTTGAAGACCTTAATGGTTTGGGCATTTGAATAGTCAATCAAGTAGAGCAATCTTGGTTTTGCCCAACTAAAGGGATGTAGTAGATACTTCCTAGAAACATGGCCTTTTCAGAGTAAACTACTGTCCCCAAAGGAGCTAGCAGGTCCAGTTTTTATGTATTTCTAAAGGGAACACCTTAATTTTTTTTTAAAAAAAAAAATCTGGGCTAAACTGATAGCAACTGATTAAACATCTTAAAAGAATACTTTGGTTTTTTTGCTGTCACATTTTCCAATTGCTTAATACATTGTCAACTGCTTTATCAAGTTGCTCAATAAGTTGCTTTATCAAGATGGACCGGAAGTGAGTGTTAAACTAATCAAGGACAATTAATTAATAAAGATAGTATTTAAAATGTTGCATACAAGCCAGCAAAATAGTTTTTAAGATCTATTTCAGATTTAAAAATCAACAATATACTTTTATATTTTACTAACCTCTGGTGTGCATTTTAAACCCCATTTAGAAACTGTTGGCAATAAAAATATTTAATTATGTTGTTGACCCCAGGCATTCAATGATTCACACAAAGTCAAATTGGACTTGCTTGTTTTCACCTTGTGTTTTACATTTCCAGCATCTTTATTCTTCCTTAAATCACCTCCATTCACAGACTTTCATAATCTCCAAATCTGGCAAATCTACACATCAACTCTATGGCCCAACTTTGGCTGAGGGATCACTGGAAACTGATACAAATCCTGTGCCAGAAACCTGAGTACTTTTTATAACTCTGAGAAGAATATTAAACTTTAAATCTGAGATTCTTTTTCCCTCTTCCCCATTTCCCTTTATGAATGGATAAACCTGCCTTTCTACATAATACTGTTCTCCCACATTCCTTTGCCTTTGCATAATTCCACTATTTCAGCCAGGGTGTACTTTCCCCTGGTTGTTTACTACAGATCGTCCTCAATTTACAACAATTTGTTTAGTAACCATTCAAAGTTACAACAGCACTGAAAAAATGGATTTTTGACTGTTTTTCATACTTACTCCCATTGCATGTTCACATGATTAAAATTTGGACACTTGGCAACTGGGTCGTATTTATGACAGGTGCAATGTCCTGGATCATGTGATGAGTTTTTGTGACATTTTGACAAGCAAAGTCAATGGGGAAGCCATATTCACTTAACAAAAGTATTACTAAATAATGTACGGGAGTCTTTGTGGTTAAACTGGGAGAAGATAAAAAGACAATGTTATTTGAAAATTCCAGTTTGGTTATCGACTATTGAAGCATTTTCCTATCCTATAATTTATAAGAAGGAACAAACAGTTAGATATGGGGAACTATTGGATGAAAAGGGTGAACTTAAATCGATACAAAATTTAGAGGAACAAGGTATAAAGATGAATTGGTTTTCATATGCGCAAATACATTCAAGGTATGATGAAGATTCTAAAACAGAGGGATTTTATGATAAACAGACTGATCTAGATAAGATCTTGACAGGTACTGATGAGAAGGTGATTAAAAAATTATACGGTTATTTATTGGGAATTAAGCTAGAGGAAGAACAAGTTAAAGAAACTATGATTGCTTGGGGGAAGAATTTTGGATATGGGATTGATCTAGAGAAATGGCAAAAATTGTGGTCTCAAAATTATAAAATGACAATGTCAACAGAAGAAATAAAGAAAATTTGTATAAGATGTTTTACAGGTGGCACTTTCCCCCGACAAGAATAGCAAGAATGTTCAAGAATAAATCTGAAAAATGCTGGAAATGTCATCAGATACCTGGCTCATATTACCATATGTCGTGGACTTGTGAGGATGCTAGAAAATATTGGACTAAAATTCGCATGTGGTTGGAAAAAATGACAAAGAAACGTATAGATTTGAAACCGGAGTTCTTTTTATTGGGAATCTTACCAGATACATACAGTAAAGACTTGAAATATTTGATTGTAAATGTATTGACAGCAGCTAGGATTGTATTTGCTAAAAATTGGAAAAATGAGAAATTATTATGAAAATATTGGAATGTGCTGAGATGAGTAGATTGACATTTGAAATTAGAGAGCAAGAGGATAAACAATTTTATGAAATTTGGGATCTTTTCTATCAATGGTTGGATGGCAAAGTACAATAATATAATATTTAGAATGTTAGACAGCAAGGAATATCTTTGTTTTTTCTTTCTCTTTTGATATTTGATATCATATTTATAAAGTGTTTTTAGGATAGATCTGGTATGATTATATGATTTGTTATAGAATAAACTGTTTAAAGTATTGTTATCTCATAAGTATGAATGATTAAAAGTATAGTCAAATGATTTTCTAATAGCGATATTAGGATATATAAGTTTGGATTGACAATATGAGCTATTATGTAATATAACTGTAATTGAGACTATGAAATGAATGCACAAAACTGATGAACCAACCGACACACTGTATGTATATAAGAGAGTTGATGTTTTTATGTTTTGTTTGTTTTGTTTGTTTGTAGAAAAATCAATAAAATTGTTTTAAAAATAAAATAAAAAGTATTACTAAATAATGTTAATGATTCACTTAACAACCATGGCAAAAAGATCATAAAATGGGGCAAAACTCATTTAACAAATGTTTCACTAAGCAACGTAAATTTTGGGCTCAATTGTGGTCGTATGTTGAGGAGTCCCTGCAGTTATAGTGCCCAATATCCCACTGCTTTTAAAAAAGCTGAAGATTGTACATTTACTAGTTTAATCTCTCCCCCTCCCTCTCCTCTAAAAACTGTGCCAACCAAGATAGATTCCTAAAGTTCAGTTAACCTAGTCTGGACTAATTCAATAAATTGTGAAATTCTACTCCTGAGCTTCACAAAGACAACTGAGTTTGCCCCGTAGATGAGAGAATTAATAGACCTTTTGATCCGATTATCAAGGTTTTGTGGAAGTTTGCGTTATATAAGGAAATTATCTTTAAAGAATGGTGCTTTGTAATAGGTCCGCTTCTGCACTAAATGATGATCGTCATTATTGTGATAATGTTCTGTAGACAAAAACCTGTACCCAGGGTCTGGAGCCCAAAAAGGCCACCTTATTTGTTCATTTTCATGGTTATTTTTCTCTCTCCCTCCTATGGCAAACCAAGCATTGTGAATACCGTTCCATAAAATCTCTCGTTCTTCAAAGCAGAGCCTTTTTCAAAGAATGACAGCAGGTGTACGCAAGAGTTCTAAAAAGTATCTACAGCATGAATACTATACCTTCTGGATTCCTGCCAGTATTTTGATTGTATCCATGGCCCCATACTGACATGAACAGTAGCACTGGAACAGTAGCACTCATTTAAGCAATTAAAATGTGAAAACTACTTATTAAAAATCAAATATAACCAATATTTTATAGGTTAATACTTCATTGAGTGGTTTTATAGTAATAAGGAGCTTTAGAATTCTACTGGTGATTTTCTAATTATACTGGTCATGGTAGGGTCTAGGGTTTATCCAAACTGTCAAGTGCTGAGCTCTCAAAAATATATTTTAAATAAAGTTACACTCCTAATCACAGTTGTGCATAAATAAATCCTACTTATTTCACAGGCATATGAATACCCCCAGCTGGGCAGGATCCTCGCCAAGGTCACTGAGAAGCTGAATCAGAAAGCAGCAGAGCTGCTATAATGCAGTGGCTTAAAAAGTGAGGTAAAATGACTATTTTCAGAAAAATAACCTAGATCAAAGACCTGGAAAAGTCACACTGCCAAATTATGTGTGCTAAACTCCATATGTTCCTAAATTTACATGCACATGAAGCGTTTCCTGTTAGAAGAAATCAACATTCAGTTTAACATGTTAAAACTCCATTTGAATAAATGAAACTCGGCTCCTTTTGTACATACATCATTGTTGCATGGATACACTAAAGCAGAGGTCTCCAAACTTCTGGGAGTTGAAGTCCAGAAGTCTTAAATTTGCCAAGTTTGGGGACCCCTGCACTAAAGATAAACTAAACCAAGTCACAGTATTATGTCTGCTGTCATGCAGATTTTAACCTCTCTGCCAGCAGAAGTTCCTTTATTGG